TTATGAATTTTTAGACATATTTCTCGAAATAATTTAAAGGATTGACATGAATAATATATATTTGATTTGATGACTAATAGACAATAATTTATAGTCTTGTAACGTGACAAAATGTGAATTTTATGATATAGATAGATTACTGTTTTGCTTTGCTAATGGGCGCGCGTACGTTATATCCGGCCGTGTAATCAGAAAACTGTACTGTTGCTGTCAAGGTGAACGCTATACACACAATATTCTTTATCAGTTTAATAATAATAACCTATATGACACATTCACTGGCCACCACTGTCAATACCTGTATAATTTTAATATCGTTCATATTTTTATCTGTTTTATATTTTGTAAATCGTTAAGCCGATACCCTCTCCCAAACGTGTTCGTCGTCGTCGTTGTGTCTCGCCCGGTGTGTAGGAATTTTTCGGGTTCTCTTCCCTTTGAACCACCGTCGTGGTATATTTTGCTGTGTGCGTGCAGCCAATTATAGTTTTTTTTGTGTTCATTGTGTAAAAATCATGTATTGATTTAACCAGGCGTCGGCCATTTCCGGGGCCGAGATCTCCATCTTAGGATGAGTCCCATCCGGGACTGGGTATCGTATTAGTGTTTTTTTATTTTATTTAATATATCGTTTTGAGCCTTTCTTTTTTTTTTCTGTTATAAATTTATTTTATTATGAGCTGTATATAATTTTATCATTGCTGTTTATAAGGTTATTGGTCAGTGGTGTGTCATGTATATTTAACATATATATATATATATTATTCCCGCAGTACCCAAGTACGGTCCGGCCGGCCAGATTACAGAAATTATCCGCCGCGCCCGGAGTACACGGACTTGTTCCGATGCGGAAGACGCTTCACGTGTAATATTTAAAAGTTGTAGGTTAATTTTTTTTGTCTTAATAATTGTTTTTTTTTTCTCTTTTGTCCCTTTATTTGCAGAGTGGTTTTTGCCTTCGGGTTTTGTCCACTATTAACTTAATTGTAATAATTTAATAAAGTCCCCTTAATTTTCTTAATCAACAAAAATCTTTTTATTGCGTGAATATCTTCAATATTCACGTGTATCTTATTTTTTCCCCCCTTTAAATAATTCTCTCTAGTTGTAAGGTAACGGTCTTCGACATATTAAAGTATGTCCACCACTGGTGACATCAAACAAACATATTTGTTATATTTACAAGGTATCAGCGTATTATAGTCTACAACAACACTTTATATTTTAGTATATATATAATTTTTTTTTAATTTTAATTTTTTTAAAATCCACTTATGGTCCGGGTGTTGTTCTTTTTATGATCACGACCCTCGCCTAAGTGGTTGGCGACCCGATTTCCTTTTTGCAAGGGAGCCATGAGGGTGGCGACTCCACAATCCGTTGCGTGGCCCAAGTCGTCACCTCTCAGAATGGTGACCATTGCCAGGATGTGTAATTTTATTACACACGAATTTAAATTTCATTGTTTTAAAAATTCTATTAATATTTAGTTAAGTAAAAAATTTTACTTTTAATAATTAATTTTTTATTGTTTATAACCAGAGTGGGGGGTATTTGTCAGACGTCGGAACATTTAGTCACAAGTTCCGGGGAAAAATTTTGCTCCTTATTTCGGTGATTCATAATAATAATTTTGCTTTTAATTTAAATTATCATTATTTTAGTGAGATGTTGATGTAGATTGTGTATGCTGACCTTAATTTCGTTTATAGTAAATGGCTCAAAACATTTTTTTATTTTTGTCCGTCGGACATAGTTATTTGCCGTGCCATATTTTTTAGATGTCAAGACCTATTCCCTGTGTGTATATGCGTTTCACTGATAGTATGATCACGACCCTCGCCTAAGTGGTTGGCGACCCGATTTCCTTTTTGCAAGAGAGCCATGAGGGTGGCGACTCCACAATCCGTTGCGTGGCCCAAGTCGTCACCTCTTAGACTACTGAATAATAACTGATGTATGTATTATAACAGTTTTATCATTCATATCTAACAATTAAATCAATTAAAGTATATCACATTGTCAAATATATTTTAGGTAAACCTCACTGTTATCCTCAATGTGAAATACAATAATAAGATAATAAATAAGACTGAATATAAAGTATATAAATATATACTGAGACAGTACGGGCTGCCTTTGTAACGCCATTGCTGATCGAATACCGGCAGAGTAATGTCATAAAAAAAACCCAGCACAGGGGGGTCGCGGCACAGTGGTGACGTGGCATAGATGGATCAAGTGTAATGATATCTGACAGTGATTAAAATCACTATAAAAAAAAAACGCTTCGATGCAAATCTTTAGATAGTGTTTAATTTTAAAAAATTGGTGGATTATTCCAAAAGCTACATGATCTGCTAGTTCATTATTAATATCCTAATTAAGATAAAGTATGTCGAATGAAAAAGGGATTATTAAAAAATATTATTTCTCATAAAAAAATAATGTTGATCCATACACTTTTCAATATGTCATAGCATTATAAAGTTAAAAATGTAAAAAATAAAATCGAGAATTTTCACACAATAATAGCATTCGGTAGCCATTTTCACCGTGAAGATAAAATAAAGTCCGAAATTTTTTTTTTGCATAATAAAGTAAATTACATTAGCTTTAATTTAAGATATATATAAAAGTGTCAGACTTTCCGGAACACTTTCAAAATTTAAGTTGAAAAAGTCAATTTTTTGTGAAAAAGTTGTCATTTTGAATCCCCCCCTGTAGGCAGGTAAAAAGTCAGATTTATAAAAAAAATATACCAAATGATAGGTAAAGACATCATGCATCTACAAAAAAAAGAATTATATTGATCCATACATCTTTCGAGAAGTTATAGCATTATAAAGTTAAAAATATAAAAAAGAATTTTTTTACAAAAATCGTATTTTTTTTATTAAGTTTAATGTCTGTTTTCACCATGAAGATAAAATAAAGTCCGAAATTTTTTTTTACCATTATAAAGTATATTACATTAGCTTTAATTTAAGATATATATAAAAGTGTCAGACCTTCCGGAACACTTTCAAAAGTTACGTTGAAAAAGTTCTACTTTCTATATGCATTTTTATGTTTTGAATCCCCCCTGTATTTAGGGAAATGGTCCGATTTAAAAAAACAGTATGTCGAATGAAAGATCTATATAAATACTACTTCTCATAAAAAAATTGTAATGATTCATACATTTTTCAAAAAGTTATAGCATAATAAAGTTAAAAATGGAAAATACAAAATCGAAAATTTTCACACAAAAATAGCATTCGGTAGCCATTTTCACCGTGAAGATAAAATAAAGTCTGAAATTTTTTTTTTGCATAATAAAGAACATTACATTAGCTTTAATTTAAGATATATATATAAAAGTATCAGACCTTCCGGAACACTTTCAAAAATCAACTTGAAAAAATTAATTTTGTGAAAAAGTTGTCATTTTTTTGAATCCCCCCTGTATTTAGGGAAATGGTCCGATTTAAAAAAACAGTATGTCGAATGAAAGATCTATATAAATACTACTTCTCATAAAAAAATTGTAATGATTCATACATTTTTCAAAAAGTTATAGCATAATAAAGTTAAAAATGGAAAATACAAAATCGAAAATTTTCACACAAAAATAGCATTCGGTAGCCGTTTTCACCATGAAGACAAGTCCAGAGGTCAAATTTTTTTTTTTCAAATTAAAGTACATTACATTAGCTTTAATTTAAGATATATATAAAAGTGTCAGACCTTCCGGAACATTTTCAAAAGTTAAGTTGAAAAAGTTAATTTTTTGTGAAAAAGTTGTCATTTTAAATCCCCCCCTGTGGGCAGAAAAAAGGTCAAATTTACAAAAAAAATATACTAAATAATAGGTAAAGACATCAAGCATCTATAAAAAAAAAATTATNAAAAAAAAATTATATTGATATGTTCATTTTTGAAAAAGTTACGGCAGTTTTTAGTAAAAAAAATTGAAAAAATTTCGAAAATTAGCGGTTTTTAAATTTGTAATTTTTTTGGAGGTTTCCCCCATTTACGGGGAACGAGGGAAATTTTTTCAATTTTGAAGGGTAATGTCTTCGACTAGATACGATTTGTGATCTTTTGACGTATCGTTGAAAGAAATCCGTTCGGTGAGAGCTGAGAAAAAGTGGTAACAGACACAAAAAAAAAAAAAAAAAATAAACACATCTTAGTAAAACTAATACCTTCTCAGCTTCGCATCGAAGCTAAAAAGAAAGAAGGTTATGGGATACTAATTATAATAATAAAAAGAATGAAAAGATGAAGGAAATAAAATAATTTGCTATATGTGTGATATTTATATTTTTCATAATTAAGAAAGAGGAATAATAATAGAATATAGATGTTATATGTTATAGATGTTATGGTTAACGGATTGTTGAAATACGTTTAGCCATAAGGTGAAAATAAAGCATACAATATATGTATTCATGAACTCTTTATTAAGATACTATCACCACATGTGGTTTGTCGTAAAAAGTAAATTGCAGGAAAATTATATTCGGATGACGCACACCTGAGTCATATTAATTCTACAATGAAATGTGCAATGATTATTAAGGAGGATTTTACGACTCTTAATATTTATTGGTCATGCTATATGAATGGGAAACAGCGTGTGTTCATGTAAAATGCTACTGTCCAATTGTTGGGCGCCAAGCCTTAATGGCTGAATTATTTTCTTTATGTAGATGTATAATACAAGTTAAAACATCTACGTTGAACGCGTACTATTATGATCCAAATGGTGAGAAAATAGTTATTATTAATATCCCTCTTTTCAAATTATTCACCTTTAACAATTCTATTATTCCCTCGATAAAAGTTATTCTTGATTTATCTTAAGTCTATCCTTAATTTTTATGACATGCTTAGAAATATAATTTCTTACCTTGTGTCCAGCTAGCTTGATAGTTTGTTTTTTTTTAAAAAAAGAATATAATAAGAATACTGACTTTAATTTACTTATTTATATTATAATCTTATAAAAATTGTCAAATTTGAGATATTACTTCACTTAAATTCTTTTCTATATCTGGTGTCTGAATATGTGTTACTTTATATTTTAAAATGAAAATTTATAAAACTAGATAGATTATGAAAACCAATCCCTAGTGACACGTCATAAACTATTGTTTTACGAATAGTTTTAACCGCTTGATGTGCTAGGGTAATGATTTCAATAAATCATCAGCACCTTGTGCAATCAATCAAACACTTATCTATTCAAATTTAAGATACACTCTACGATCTCCTTAGTAACATGCCATAAACCATTGTTTTACCAACAGTTTTAGCCACTTGATGATGTGCTAAGGTAGATTTTCGAAATGCACTTATTAAATAGACAATCCAATTGAAGAATTAAAAAATTACAAAATAAAAAATATATTAATTCATAATAAATTTAAATTAAAAAAAAAAAATAAAATAAAAAGTTTAAATTATTATTATCTTTATTACATTAATTATAAGAGAGTTAGATAAAAAAAAACACCAAGTGTGAAAAAGATTCTAAGTCAGAGAGAGAGAGAGAGCAAAATCGCGAAACAGCTGGTGCAGAAACGCTTCATGACCAGACTTTAGAAAAAAAATAAGGTGTTGAATGAGCTAGAAATTGCTCTTTTATATGCCTGTTTTATGAGGGGGAGACTTAATGTTTTATATTTTAATTGCACAATCCTTCTCATTGGCTAGTTAATTAATTTAGAGAGACCTATGGGCAATCTATTGTTTTACTAATTTAAGTTAATGATTCATATTTGTATTGGTGTTTTATATCTATCATCTCTCATTATAATGTGGTTTATTAAAAAAATTCATCATTATAAAAATATAAATAAAATAAAATTTTCTGAAAAATGCTACTATAAAACCAAGATTAGCAGCTATTATAATGAATATTAACTTTCTAACAAATAACTTTTGAAATTAAGTCAATATCTGTTTAATTCACGAAAATAATATTGTACAAATGTCAATTGGAAAATAAGTGATATTATGATTTCCTTTATGTTGGATACTATCGTATAGTTTTTAATTGTAATATTTCTTAAATTCAATTAAATCTAATATAATTATATTTAAACAACGCAACATAGAAAAAAGTTAATCCTGCTGGTATCGAATTAACAGACTCCAAAATACACCGTCTACAAATTTTAAAAACGTAAAAATTGTACCGACAATGCCGGACACAATAGTACTAGCGTACCGTATGTTAGACGAGCAGATAGTACGGTAACTAAAGCGATAATTACATGGGAAATTATCCGCTACTAAATCTGTATCTTTTGAACGATTTAAAACAATTTTTGAGAAATAATGTAGTATATTTTCTTTATAGTTTTCAAAAAGAAATCTATAGATTATATTTGTCATATTTTTTATTCTAATCTTAATAAATAAACGTTTTGTGTCAACCCTATTCTTAAGCCAATTATATTAACATTGTATAAAATGTAAATATGATTTGTATACTATTCATTTGTAACAATTTATATATTTAAAATTACCGAGAGGCAGGAAAGAAAAGAAGGAAATAAATTATAATTTATTTTTTTATTAATTTGATTTTTGTTTTAATTTATAAATTAAATAAACAAATAAATATATATATATAAATAAAAATAAAATTGTACTTTTCAGAAGTCAGATCAATTGAATAGGGTAGTGCGTAATTTTAAAAGTATTAGGTGGTATTTTCTAAAATGAGTATACTAATACCTACTGGGCTTTTATATTATTTATTGAAATAAAAATAAAAATGTATTTATAAAAAAAAAATTTAAAGAGTTACAACCTAATTATAAAACAAGAAAACCGGGCGCTGAATTCAGTTATAATCAAACTGTTAATTTTTTTCAAGAAATATAAAACAATGAAATGTTAAACCATGGTTTTAACTATTAATTATAAAAAAGGGCGACAGTCGGTCTACGATTACGTTTTTCTTTTTTTGTTTGTGTCGATAGACAGGCGGTAGCTCATAATTAAAACGCGTTTTATCACTGCTTATGCAGTGATTCCCAAACATGTACGATCTATTAGAACTTCATAAAAGAAATTGTACTTTTGTGTACCAACTCAATACACAATAAATATATGATAATATCATTTATATTCTATATAGCTCTAATAAAAAAAAAATTAAGAAATAAAGATGATTAAATAAAGTATTAAGCAAAAAATAATATTAAAAATTTCAACAAATTAGATAAATATAGTTTTAAAAATATTTTACTAGTTACTTTTTTTGCTTAATATTTTCAAAATTTTGAATAGTTCAACTTTTAATATATAATTATTAGCTTCGATGCAAAGCTAAGAAGGTATTAATTTTATCATGATGTGTTTCTTTATTTTTTTTTTTTGTGTCTGTCACTACATTTCTCAGCTCTCACTGGACCAATTTCTTTCAACAATACGTCAAAAGATCACAAATCATATCTAGTTGAAGACATTAGCCTTAAAAATTGAAAAATTTTCCCTCGTTCCCCGCAAATGAGGGAGATATCCAAAAAGATCACAAATTTAAAAATCGGTAATTTTTGTCATTTTTTTCACTTTTTTTTCTTAAAACTTCTTAAAGTGTTCCGGAAATACTGCGTCCTTTAAACATGTATAAGTTTTAGTTTTAGTTATTATTGAGGTGGACATAATGCCCATGCACTCAGACCTGTTGGTCCATTGTGCGCACCTCATACCGAATTGTCTCGATTCGGTTTACCCACCTAAGTGTTATCACCAAAGTGTTAATACATTACCAACCATAAAGTCACCTCTAAAGATCACCAAAGAATCCTGTCTTTCTGGCGAAATTAAGTATCTCTCTGGGTTTTAGGTTTTTAATATCTTCTTTTCAGGAAAAGGTTTATTCAAGTAGTTTGATCTTAATGTGGACAAGGCTTTACATTCGCACATGATGTGAAATGAGTCTTCCTCTTCAACTACACACTTCTTGCACAATGGTGATTCCGATACCCCCATTGCGTTAAGATGTTTAAGCAGGTGACCATGTCCTGTCAGTAGACCAGTCAGGGTACTTATTTGATGTCTAGTCATGCTATTAAGATCACCCAGCAATAAACCAGGGGTCTTGATAAACATTTTAGATTGTCTAGGTACTACCAGGTACTTCCAGATTTTCCTGTGTTGTTCTCTGCACCAATTCTTGGGTAACGCTTTGAGCGATTGCTCAGTGAGTCCTACCATTGGTTCTGGTCCAACATAGGTGTTCTCTGCTCCTTTCCTGGCTAGAAAGTCAGCATTCTCATTTCCAGTGACACCATTGTGTCCCGGTACCCACGCTAGTGTAACTTTGTTGAACCTCGATAGTGATTCTAAAGTTTCCCTGCATTCGAGGACCAGCTTTGAATTCACCTGATCGTTACAGAGTGCTTTCAAAGCCGCTTGACTATCACTTAAGATAGTTATCTTCCTATTTTTGTATACCAGCAGGTTCTGAGCCCCTACCAGTATCGCCATCACCTCTGCTTGGAAAACAGAGGGTGTTGTGCCCAATGACATACTGACATTTATTCGTGGCTTTAAGCCCCAAATTCCAGCACCTACCTTTCCTGATTTTTTGGATCCATCTGTATATATCACAAATCCTCCTTTGTCAGTCAGGTGGTTAATATTCCATTCTATACGTGTAGTGATCTCCACTTTGTAGGGAATGTTATTCTTAAGAACCGGTTTGATATAGTCCAAGGGGTATTCTAAAAAGCCCTTGTCTATCTCTTTTAGTATTTTACCATGTTCTGTTGTATCACTCTCCAAAGTCCACATACCTAAGTTGTGGAATCTTAGTGCTGTAGCTTTGGCGTGAGCTTTCACCTCTAGATGCAGAGGAGGCAATCCAATTAGTGCCTCTAATGCGACCGTTGGTGTAGTTCTTAATGCTCCAGTGATGGCAATAGCAGCCATTCTCTGTATGCGACTAAGTTCTTTCCTAGCTGTAATGAGTGCTGTTCTGGTCCACCAGATTAGGGCACCGTACAACATCATAGGTTTAATCACTGATGTGTACAACCAATACATAACTCTTGGTTTAAGACCCCATGTCTTTCCCAAGGCTCTGCTGCAAGTCCACAATGTGGTCATTGCTTTTTTGATTCTTGACTCAACATGTGATTTCCATTTTAGCTTACTATCCAAGATAATACCTAAGTATTTTACTTCTGATTTTAAGCTAATTTCTTGTCCATTCAGAGTAAGAGTGTCCAGGCTGTCCAGTCCCACTCTCCTTCTAGTGAACATATAAACATGTATAAAATTAAATCTTATTTTATGTACTATAAAATTAAAAAAAAAATTTGTCCCGACATCTTATCTAATATGTGCAAATTACTGTCGAAATTTAAAAAAAAATGTAATATTTGCGATAAAAATCACCTTCTATAAGGATGTTTTTTGTACTTAAAACTGCCATAATTTTTTCAAATATTAACAAATCAAAATAATATTTTTTTATATTGAAACCTTATGTAATTTCTTTTCATTTGTTATCATTTTTTTTGAAAATCTAACACTTATTCTGGTCACAGGGGGGATTCAAAATAGTAACTTTTTTACAAAAACTAACTTTCTTAACTTAACTTTTGAAAATGTCCTTTAAACATATGTTAAATTAAAGCTTATTTTATGTACTATAAAATTAAAAAAAAAAATTGTCTCAACGACCTATCTTCTGTGCGCAAATGGCTACCGTATTCAAAAATATGCTATTTTTGTATTAATATTCTGGGTTTTGTATTTTATTTTATTTTAAAATATCTTATTAGAGGAATACACTGACTTTCATGAATATTATATAATTTAATTGACATAGAATAAAGTTCATAAGACATAAGAAATTAAACTTATTTAAATTGTTTTGCTTTTTTAAAGTCGAAAAAGCAACTTTTAAATTTGACTTAGCTTAAATAGCCAATTTTATTGCGTGACGACAGTAACGAACAGTTGCCGAACCAGTAACACCTGTGTCTTTCACGCTTAGGGTACGAGGTTCAAACCCGTCTCTGGCAATTAATATCTTGCATTTTTTTTGAGTTAGAATAAAATTTCCAAATGAATTGATATTTATCTCACTTAGATTCAATAACTTCAATAAATATAAAGGATCCTATCACTGTAGTGTCTCCTCGTGAGAAGAAATTTATATTCATGTTAATATTATTTTACTATGTAGTTTTTTTTGTGGTTACGATTTATTTTGCCAACCCTCACTAGACCTACTTTTTTCAACGTTACGTCAAATGATTACAATTCGTATTAAGTTTAGGTTATTACTCTTAAAAATCGAAAAAATATTCCTTATTCAAATAAAAAGTAGCTTAACCAGCTTTTTCCATACAAACAATTAAAATCATTAATTTCTAATATTCTCAAAGTATTTGTTTTCGAATTAGATTTGATATGATTAAAGTATTCAACTACAAAATTAAATAATTTTACTTTGTAATTTATTCATTATTTTAACTCTATTTGTGTGTGCTACTACCAGTCTATAATATTCTAAATTTGTTTGTAATATGTTGCTATATAAATCATAAATTAAAAAAAAAATGATTTTTAGTTTCACCTGAATTTAACGATGGATTTTTACAATTATAATCAAATTTTAAATTACGCTCAATTAAGTAAATTTTTTTAACAACTTTGTTTTGATTGATTCATTTAGTTAAAGTAAATCATTAAAATTTATTAAGTTCTGAATATTTCATTTGCAAAATCTTTTTAAACACCAAAAGTTATTAGGAAATGATTATTATTATTTCTATTTCAGTTATCTATTACGATAAAAATGCAAAAAAATCGAATTTTTCTGATAAATACTGTAAATAGTAATTATAAAATTTCCTGATTAGGAAATTAGGAACTTGTAAATAGTTAAACAACAATGATGATAAAATCAAGTTATTTTTTTTTTAATTAAAACAATTTTTTTTTAACATTTAGTTGCTAAGTGAATCTTATGCATTAGTTATTATTTTAAACACATTAAATTATTTTATTTACTTAGTATAAGACCTATATTATATACCTAGTATGAGTACATGTACTTTTAAAATGTCTTATTTTTTTTTTTTTAATATTTGTCCAAAACTAAGAAAAAAGAACTACTGTAAAATACTTATTAATTTTTGTTTAGTAAACATTATAAGATTATATATTTTGTATAAAAAATGATATTTAATAAAAAAATGTACATTAATTCATTAAATTTGTTTTTTATTGAAAATATTAAAATAAATTAGTTACATTTAACTATTAAAAAATAAACTTATTGTATAAATTTTCATAAAAAAACCATTATTTTATATATTGTCGTAAATCTTATCATACCCTCAGGGGGGTGCTAAGTAATTAGCACTACGGGTTTGGCGATTCCGGGGCCCCGAGCTCTGAGCTGGCCTTAATTGGTTGGCTCTGTCTGGTCCTCCAGGTTGGGGGTTTGGCGACGGGCTAAC